CCAGATTGGGTATTAAGTCTTCCAGTTTTCAACATATTTTCAACAGAAACTGATCTGCTTTGCAGGATTTTTATCCATAAGCTTCTTTACTTTAGCTACTGCATTAGCAGGATGGAAGGTGTCAATTCATGAGAGAAAAAGAATGCAAGTATCTGATTAGGGCCACAGCTAAAAAGAGAGGGGACAAGAGGAATAATTCAATGATTTAATTAAAAAAACTAATGAAAGAAATAAAAACACATACCGTTGCCAAACTCAAAGTCCTTGTTTTTGTTGATCTCATCTTCAATACGCTTTTTCGTCCTTCGCAACCACTCTACTAGTTTTTCCTAGAAACCATGATAAACACAACGCTGAACTCAAATGCGTAGAAATTGTACTCTACGATAATCAGACAAGGGAATTAAAATATAAGTTAATTTGCTCCGAAATGAATGTTTATTGGGATAATGGTGCTAGAAAACCTACCCTCCAGTTGAAAGAAAACACAAAGGAGACAAGCCAAGAAGGGCTTTACAACATCAAACAGCTATGGAAGAAATTGTTCATAGAAATGTGATATTCACTATTACTGTACCATGTAGTTGTATTCATTCACTATGAAATAAGAGGTTAGGGTAACATATTCTCAGTTATGTTACATAGCCATGAACACCAAATATCAGTAAGATCCAAACAAAAGCATGAATCTCTATCCCACAATTGAGTAAAAACAATTGGTCAACAACTTAAGGATATCAAATGGCTGAACAGAACCCTTTGAAGTTTTGGTCATGGCTCAGTTGCAAGTTAATTAGCAGGGAATACATTAGCCTTAGCCACGAAAATATTTCCATTCTACAACCAACCACTGCATTGCTACATGCTATATTTACAGATGTTGTTCAGAGACATACTATTCTTCTAAGTAAATACTTATCCGGGCACCCTAGACGAGCTTTAGAACATAAAATTCTTCAGACATTATTGTTATATGCAGAATAGCAGAAAACCTTGACACCGTGGTGCACTTACTAGACATCAAAACATTTTTGTTTTCCTGAAGAGTTACCATTATACAAACTTCCACACACACGCACACAAAGTATTCTATTAAAAACAGAAGTTCAACTTTCTACCTTGAGATATATTGTGATCAAGTGACCAGGGAGTAGGACTTCAAGATTTTGCAAGGAATCTGTCCGGCACAGAAGTCTGATCCACAAGTGAAAACAGTTTCTGCACCATAAATCTAAAGACGCACAAGGTGTGAGAAATGATGCACAACACTCCCACACAGGAAATTTTTCATTTGCGCCCAAGAGTGAAATTAGAATACATACACACATGTAATTATATATATTTAGAGAGAGAGAGAGAGAGAGCAGCTAACATATATATAAATGGATACATATATTTAGAGAGAGGGAGAGAGAGACACATATATATAAATATAATTATATATATTTAGAGAGAGAGAGCAGCTAACAGCCCCTTTTCCTGTGTATATATTTATATATATTTATACATATATACAAATATATTTATATATTTAGAGAGAGAGATACATATATATTTATATATATTTATACATATATATAAATATAATTATATATATTAAGACAACAATAAGTACCAATGTGCTCCAGACATTCATGACGAGTGAAAAGTTTCAAGTCTCTCACTTCATCCAGAATAATTTGTGCCCTCTCACCCACTAGCTGTGTGCCAACAGCCCCTTTTCCTTTCTCATGTTCTCGACATAGCAACACGTCAAACACTCATAAATTTCACGATCAGTAGTATCAATGAGAGCCTGTTAAGCATGTTGGGCGAAGTTTGCATAATCATATATTACAACATGACAACTACATCAACAACTTAAAAAGGTCAAAAGAGTATAAAGTAGGCAGTAGGCCACAAACAGAATAATACAGTAAAGGAACAGATGATGAGAACACAACACAGATCAGACCCAAAAACTATCATGGATTCCTAATGTTCACCGAGCATGTGCACTTGATGACTGATGAGATTCTGCAGTATTGGAATGACTACACGCATGCGGTGAACGAGTGTGTGGCTTTAGCGCTTTTTCAAGGTATAAGCTGGAAAGTATTTTTGGCAGCAAGATTCTTTTGTTTGCCAAAAGAAAAGTGGGGCCTCTCGATTTCTCTCTCTCTCTCTCTCTCTCTCTCTCTCACTACCCTCACTCTTTTCCTTCGCCTTATTCGCCATGAAAAGAAGACAACAAGAATCACCCAGCAAACCCCACCACCACCGCCAGTCTCTTTGCCAATCTCTCTGAACCCACACCTTGCAAAACGCAGCAAACCAAAATGTGCTATGTGGGAAAAGCAATAAAGATCTTAATTTCCATCAATTTGACCCATTTAGGACTGGGAGCTAAATTGGACTAGGAGTTGGGATTTGAGGTTTCAAGGGAAATGGAGAAGACCCAGATGGCAATTTGATTCACCATTGGAGATAGAACCGGATTTGGGTATTTGCACGGTGTGCAGAGCTCAGATTCGTTCACAATCAAGTTATTGCAGAAGAAGGCTTGAGGTTTGGGCTTGCAGGCGGCAACGTTGGCCAACGTGCACACGTTCTGGCAGAGGCTAGTGACCTTGGCGAGGATTAGGAGAGAGAGAATGGCAGCTGCGCTGTGCGAGGCGACGTAGTGGCATGTGAGGAAGATGAAGAACGTGATGAGGATGATGGCGGAGGTGTTGTGGGCGAGGAGAACAGGGGCGTGGAATTGGAGAAGAGAGAAGAGAGAAAGGATGGAGAGGGTGCGGGGGGTGAGGGACGGTTGCATTTTTTTAATATTGAAGTGGTCCTTATTGACACGTGGTGCTCAGTTAATGTTCACGTGAGCGCCACGTCATCAGTTAACAGAATATTAACGGAAAACTTAACGGATGTATGAAACTGTTCCAAAATTAAGACTTGAGGTATGATTTTGGGATGAAAAAAACTTTATGCACCAAATGTTGAAAACCTTGAAATTTTAGGATAGTAAATTAAGATTAACCCTTTAAACTACTATGCTCATCTAAATTGGATATGAATGAAAATAATTGTTATTTTATTTTTTACTTTCCTTACCTTTTCCTTTTCTTTTCCATTCCTACGGAATGGGTCATATCATTGAAGGGTCAACAATTTTGATGGGCTTGATCTTAATGAGTAGAACCTAGAGACCCTTAGTGACAAGGTAATCGAATGACTCTATGTGGTGGCGGAAGAGCTCGTGCACCGCCACGAAGTCCTCCCCCGAAGCCGGTTGCTTCCCCAACATCTTCGTTGGCTTCTCTTCTCTCTCCAACGACCTCGTTCTTCTGATTGTCGTTTCGTTCTTTGTTCAGTGAAGAAGGAAGGAACGAAGAAGGAGGGGTTTTGTTTCTGCCTTCTTGTTTACATTGGGTTTCATTAACATTTTAGGGTTTAGGGTTTTGGAGATTGTTTGGCAGATTTATTTTTTATTTTTTATTTTTTATGTCACTGTTGGTTTGGGTTTTTGTTGTTTGTGGTTTGGGCTAAAGCCCAAGTTTTCGTTGGATGTACTCCTGACCCGTTAAAAAAAAAATACGAAATTTATAGTTTATTTTGATTTAATAGGGTCCTTTTTTTGTTTAATATTTTTTTATATGAAAATATGTTTACACTAAGGAAAAGTATTAATTGCAAATTTCTCTCTTTCTATTACTCCGATATAAAATGAGTGAATTGCAGGTTAAGGTTTTTTGCTTCAACCTATTACGTTTATAAGTTCAAAATTCTCCCACACTCCTTCATGTAAATTTTTATGCAAAGACCTTTTTTGACGGTTCGAACTGTATTGATTATTTCAGTCGGATATAATTATGTGTACATCGGACCATCGGACTGTACTTTGAACTAGATTAGTTTTATATGGTACTCGGAAAAGCAACGAATTCCTTGAACCCTTTCTCGTGGATTACAAATGCTAAATACACAATGCGTTTGGTCGGATGCAGGTATATGGTTACCGGATGTATTTGTGGGCTGAGCATCTGGGTGGACTTGAGGATACCTATCAAGATCCTGAGAGCCTTGAATGCGTGAAGCGTACTAATGAGATCGCCAAGCTTAACTGGAAAGCATTTGTGTCTGAAGAGCATAAGGAGATGAAGGGATACTTGATGTCGTACCCAGTTCAGATCGGAAGAGATGGATGAGTGTTCGTTGCCTGGATACGAATCATTTCGTGATGTTGGTGGTAAAATACCTGGAGCATTCACCAGTCTTCCGGGTGCGGTAACAACGTAATCAATTGAGGGAGTCAAGGCACCAAGATATGATGTACAATGTGGTTTTGTTAAGAATCATTAGAACAATATGCCTTTATGATGTCATGAATTATATCAGTAATTGGTATTCTGATGTTTATCATCTTTGTAAAGTAAGGGTAAAACTGCGTACGAAAAATGTTCCTTCCTGACTTTCGCAAAGCGGAGAGCCTTATTGGGTCGCCCTTTTAATTGGTGTTGTAATGTTCGTATCTCATATGATAATGATTTTTGAAAATAAGGCATCATTTGTTTGATTGAAATGCTAGAATATATATACATTATAATCGCCACACACTTTAACTAAAAGGAATGAAACCCCCTAACACTATTGACCAAAATGCTAGAATGCAGTTGAGATCGTGAATTATTTGTTAGAATATTATTGTGTGATACTGAAATACTGTTACATAGTTAATCAATCCATTTATAATTAACTACATACATAATCACCATTTTAAGAACTAGTAAGTTCTCGTAATTCTCTAAGCACAAATTGATAAATTAAGAAGAAAAGAAAAAGGGTTATATGTTTAGCAAATCCGACTATTTGATTGATCTTGCAACATATTTTGTAAAGCATCCCAAGAACAATGGCATCAAACTTGTTCCAAGGTTAAGTGTAGTATAGATAAGTTTCTACGCCCTCCTATTGTCTGACCGCATAGCGCAGTGGATTAGCGCGTCTGACTTCGGATCAGAAGGTCGTGGGTTCGACTCCCACTGTGGTCGCTTGTTTTTAATTCTTTCATCCTCTTCTCCTCGCTCCTCTCCTCAGCGAAATTTCCTAAACACTCTCTCTCTATCTAGGGTTTTAGGCATTTTTTTTACCCCTCTCTCTCTCCTTCTCTGTAATCTTAGGTAAGAAATCGAAAATTTTCTTTTCTGGTTTTCATTTATTTATATGCTGTTCTTTGTTTTTCCTCTTCAATTCAACTAAAATTTCAATTTCTTTTTTTTTTTTTTTTTTTTTTTTTGACGGGGTAAATTCGATTTAGGGTCTGAAAAAAAAAGGGTAATCAAGAAAATGTAACTTTTAGCTGGAATTTCAAGTCTTCTGATTCATTTGTCTATCAGTTTGATTGCAGAGCTTCACACATTCCGGGTAAAGATGGCTTCAGTGGGACAACCGCCGGCGCCGGCGCCTCTTAAGCGGCGGGAGGCTCCTGCTGCATCAAGAGAAGATGATAAAATGATCATCACTCCGCTAGGTGCCGGCAATGAAGTCGGCCGCTCTTGCGTGCACATGACCTTCAAAGGGAAAACTGTCTTGGTATGCTGCCATTCACACAACTGCGTTATTATTTTTTCCCAGTATCGAATATATAATTGGTGTTTTCACTCTCCTGACTTTGATTTTTTTCTTGTTTCTTGCATTTGTGGCTGTGTGGTCGCCTTCGTATGAATTGTAGTTTGATTGTGGTATTCACCCCGCTTATTCGGGCATGGCTGCTTTGCCCTACTTTGATGAGATTGATCCGTCCACAATTGATGTCCTTCTCGTAACCCAGTATGCATTTATCGTCAACTGATGTACAAAATTTGGAGCTTTTGTTGAAATCTGTTGCTAAAATATATCAGAGATGACACATTGGGTCAAGAAAACTCTTAATTTGTTATGTTTTCTCTGGTTTAGTACAACATACTTTACGTTCTTTCGTTCTGTATTTCTTGTTTAGAGTTAGAAGCGATGAATGCTAATGGGATAGCTGCTTACATGGGATAATTTCTCTTTGACTAAAGGATGGCTTTGAACATATCAACCATTCTTTTTTTTAACTACTTTTTGCTTATTTCCTTGATTTTCTTGTCAGTTGAAAAGATTGTATATAATGATGGAAAATTAGCTCAAATACCCATTTTACGGACCTAAATCCTCAACACCACTTATTTACAACAGAGAGTTTCCACAACAAAATGATCTAGATCCTAATAAGCTGAATTAATATGCAAAACTATCCTAATCACCTGATTAGATCCTTTTACATTTTATAGTTAAAAGTTACGTTACCTTGTACTTGATGGTTCATTCCATTATACTAATATGCGGTCATGCTTTTTTCTTGCAGCTTTCACTTGGATCATGCTGCATCCCTACCTTACTTTCTTGAGAAGGTTTTCACTCTATGAAGGAATTATACAATAATTTGTATGTATTTTGCTATTCAGGGGACTAATATCTCTGTAACTTTTGATAGACCACATTCAAAGGCCGAGTTTTTATGACTTATGCTACAAAGGTTATCTACAAGTTGCTTTTGACGGATTATATAAAAGTGAGCAAAGTTTCAGTTGAAGATATGTTGTTTGATGAGCAGGACATAAATTCCTCAATGGATAGAATTGAGGTTTGTTGTCCTTCCATGGCTTATGTTTTCATTCCCACCTGTTTTGTTTCCACTTTCCAGCATAACCAACCTTTCACAGATTTCTGTTAAATTTGAGTTATGTTGTTCTTGATGATGTATTTTCTATCGCTACTAGTACTGCTAGTTATGTGTCTCATAGGGGATGTATATTTAGATATATTTCAGTCGGCATTTTTTTACTTAATTAATATTGCAGTTGGGGACAGGGCGATTGGTGATATTAGTACTTTGAGTAGTTGATTAATATTTGTGGTCACTGATGAACTCTCAGTCCTCACCATCTTTATGTCATTATCCATTTATTATTTACTGTATTCAGTACGCTTAACATGAATACTATTATTGGATCCTTAATCCTTTAAATCCAACATGATTCATGAATGATATTCCCATGATAATATTAATATTAACAATGCATGATAATTGCAGGTTATTGATTTCCATCAGACAGTAGAGGTTGAGGGCATTCGATTTTGGTGCTACGCTGCGGGTCATGTCCTTGGTGCTGCCATGTTTATGGTTGATATAGCCGGTGTTAGAGTCCTTTATACTGGAGATTATTCACGTGAAGAAGACCGGCATCTCCGTGCTGCTGAGACCCCACTGTTCTCCCCTGATGTATGCATTATTGAATCGACTTATGGTGTCCAGCACCATCAACCTCGGCACATCCGTGAGAAGCGGTTTACTGATGTTATCCACACAACCATCTCTCAAGGGGGTCGTGTCTTGATTCCTGCATATGCACTTGGCCGTGCCCAAGAACTTCTCCTCATCCTTGATGAGTATTGGTCAAACCATCCTGAGCTCCATAATATTCCCATTTATTATGCTTCTCCACTTGCCAAAAGATGTTTGGCTGTATACGAGACATACACCCTTTCTATGAACGATAGGATCCGCAATGCGAAGTCAAATCCTTTCATTTTCAAGTACATATCACCACTAAAGAGCATTGAGAATTTCAAAGATGTAGGCCCATCGGTGGTGATGGCAAGCCCTGGTGGTCTTCAGAGTGGACTGTCAAGGCAGCTATTTGATAAGTGGTGCACTGATAAGAAAAATTCGTGCGTTATTCCAGGTTATATGGTTGAAGGGACTCTAGCCAAAACCATCATCAATGAACCGAAAGAGGTAACTAGTATGACTGGACTCTCGGTACCTCTCAACATGCAGGTCCATCACATTTCATTCTCTGCCCACGCGGACTCTGTCCAGACTACTGCATTTTTGGACGAGCTGAGGCCTCCTAACATAATCCTAGTTCATGGAGGAGCTAATGAGATGGGAAGGCTAAAACAGAAGCTCGTGATCCAGTTTGCTGATTGGAACACCAAAATCCTGACCCCAAAGAATTGTCAGTCTGTTGAATTGTATTTTAACTCCCAGAAAATGGCAAAAGCTATTGGAAGGCTTGCTGAGAAGACCCCTGAAGATTGTGAAACTGTCAGCGGTTTGCTGGTAAAAAAAGGCTTCAGTTATCAAATAATGGCTTCCGATGATCTCCATGTCTTCTCACAGCTGTGCACAGCAAATGTCACTCAACGGATTACTATTCCATATGCTAGTGGCTTCACTGTGATAAAACATCGGCTTAAGCAAATATTCGAGAGTGTAGAGTCTTCAGTGGATGAGGAATCTGGAGTGGCAACATTGCGAGTGCATGATCGGGTGACATTGAAGCAGGATACAGATAAACACATATCACTGCATTGGCCTTCGGATCCTATAAGTGACATGGTGTCCGACTCCATTGTTGCTCTTATTTTGAATATCAATCGAGAAGTCCCCAAGGTAGTTGTTGAATCAGAGGAGATGAAAACTGAGGAAGAAAATGGGAAGAAGGTGGAAAAGGTCATTCGTGCACTTCTGGTTTCACTCTTTGGCGATGTGAAGCCTGGAGAAAATGGGAAACTAGTGATTAGTGTTGATGGGAATGTGGCGCAGCTTGATAAACAGAGCGGGGATGTAGAGAGTGAAAACGAAGGTCTCAAGGAAAGAGTAAAAACAGCATTTCGCCGAATCCAAAGTGCGTTGAAGCCAATCCCTCTCCCTGCAACGTAAGCAGCTGCAGCTTATCAGTCTATCTTTTTCTGCATTTTGAGTAACTTTTGAATCTTGTAAAGCTATAGAGATGAACACTGGATGCTAGTTAACAGTAGTGTCTGAGCTCGTATTTAGTACCAACTAAACTAGCAACTGTTAAACGCAAAGCAACTGACTTTTTGTCAATTTTGTATGGACTAGTTTTCAAGAGTTCTACTCTTTTTTATTCGAATGCTATCGTTATCGTTCGTCTCTCGGAGAAGTTGTGGTTAAATCGTTTTAATTTCAAGGACGCATGTGTTTCTGTCGATTAATTTCTGAAGAATTGAATGGATGCTGCTTTGTTTCAGACAGAAATTTAGGTGTATCTATTAATTTTGTGCAGATGCTTTGGTTGATTTAGAAGAGAAATTGTTACAGGAGGTTGTATAATACAAGAACACCATGATTGATTGAATCATCTAATCTCACTATTTATGGGCAATTCATTTTCTAACACCGATCAATAAAACTAATTTTTCTTCGATTACAGTCAATAAAAACAATTTCTCTCGTTAATGTTCGGAAAATTAACACGCTTGAAATGTTGGACGTGCTTCGTTAGAACATGCTTAATTTAACCGAACCAAAACGAAACTGATTACCAGTGATTTGATTCAGTTTGTTTTAATAGTGGTATTGATCAAATCCAAACCAAACCAAACCAAACCAGACCAAATCGTTGAGGACTAGTTGATTCAATTTTATTTTTGGTGTCAAACCGTACCACATCCACCCCTAAGTGATGCAAAAATGTACCAGGGGATTCCGGCATTTTTCGAATGCATATTATATCCTTGGTTGAACTTGAATGCAATAACGCACCATATATACTCCGAAGTTTTTTCCAAAAAGAAAGAGCTATGTAACAATCAGAACAGTACAAATTCATTTATGTAAGGCTCCTAATTAACATGTTAAGCGTACATACTACATGGTTTCGTATATTGCAAGTTATACACAAAATTACATGACAGTGTTCCAGTTCGTAGAGAAAACTTGAATTTGGACACGAACAATATCGCGCATCCTCCTCATCCAAGCTGACATGACACCCAAATCGTTCTCATCTCCGATTCCTTCAGCATTGCATTAACTTCCATAGACAATTTAGCTGAAGCCTTCGAAAGTAGACGGGGGCATTGAAGAAACAAATGGACCAACTTTCAGCTACCTATCCTCTATACATAATGATGACTCTGACTCACCTATACGGGGGAGATAGGCTTACGTTAAATCTCCTCTTAAGTCTTTCGAAACATTAACAGCCAACTTTAAAAGCAAAACCCCAGACTTCGAACAATTTTGAAGACAAGCGGAAACACGAAAGAATCAAATTTATAAAGAATAAAGCTCTCAAAGCTTCAAACTAGGGTTACTCAGCCTCTCAGTCTTCTATACATAACCTCATTATCTTAAGTTTCCTAATCTCCCAAGAGATACTCAAACTAAAATTCCAAAATTTAGGGTTTCATAATCGCATACCTGTTCTATCAAGTTTCAGATAAGTACTGCAAACTCCGAGCCCTTATCTCATGCTTGGTGACTCTGTTGTGTTTCTTCACAGCCATATATTACTTGTATATGCCCAAAAGAAGACTGAAGAATTCTGAAGGCAATCAAGAGTATGATCTGGAAGCTGTGAACGATGATAGGAGACCTGCAGCCTGGGAAGGTAGAATGTCACCAATTGACGACATGGCTGCCGCTGATCTATCCTTGAATATGCCCACTTGCCCATCTGTTAGCATAGATCCTAGTTTTAAGCTCTCTCCAAATTTACTTCCAGCCTGCCAATCATAACAAATATCATTTTCAAAACCTGTATATCTCAATATCCTAAACAAATGGAACAGTTTAGCCGACCCCACTTAGTGGGATAAAGCTTGGTGGTTGTTTGTAGAAAACGAGCAAAGAGAAATATTGCAGTGATATCAGAAATAAAAAGAGGTACGCTGTGTGCAATCCATACTTGCTTACGGACCTGACACACTCTTTTATCTCATTACTATCTAGACAGTTTACTTGTTTTAATCAAACCTAATAGTGTGAAACTAAAAATGTCTTGCGTTACATGCTTTAACTATGTGTCTCAACTGGCTTATTGTGAACCAGAAAAATTCACATTTCAAACAAATGCATCGCTATTCCAACATGAAACAAATTTTTTTAGAACGCAACTATAAAAATAGGAAAAACTTGTAACAAGAAAATGTAAAGAGATAGACAGCCTTGCCTGCATTAAAGAATTAAAGATCGGTACTGCAGAAAAACCCGAGTTATCATCCAAATCAAGCTTACTGGAAAGATCTCCATTTGTATAAGCTTTCCAGGGACTTCTTGAAGAAATATCATCCGAAGAGACTGGAATGGATGCCTTAGCTGTCCCTCTTGAAGACAATGCTGGAGCACTTGAACACCAAGACAAAGTCAAAAGTTCAGAACCCATTATTGAGGAAGATACCCATTGGCAATGAATATTTATGGACATAGTTAAAACTGGAAAACACTAATAGAAACAGTCGTATGTAGCGAATCAGCCAGTGCAACCCAATTTATACAGTTCATTATATGAATGAAATATGAGTAGACTCAAAATAGTAGCACAGGTTATGCACACCTTGTAATGTAGCAACTAACATGGTAGAAATTTCAAGAAACACTAACCTGATGGGAAGGTATTTGAAGCGAGGAACTGAAGAGCATCTCATGATATTGGACTCTGAATTAGTAGGAAGTTTTTGAACAGTATCTGTGTACATGCGATTAAGTTGAACAAAGAATCCAAAGAGGACAGCATGGCGTTGGTAGGACTGCTTCTCATTTTCCCAAAGATATGACTCATACCTTAAATAAGATAATGTGATTAAATACACAAAGTCAAAATGCCTAAATAGTTATATAAATCATTAAATAAGATAATTCAAAACATAGGACCGCAATAAGCACGACTTCTGTGCTATAATAAGAACTCATTAGAGCTGTGGTTCCCCTATAGATGATTCACTAGTTGAATTATGTTCCATAAAATACACTGTCCTAATTTCCCATGCTTTTCTATTTAAGATCCAAATCCTCAGTTTCCCTTGTGATCATAACAACATACTAGCTGCCCAAGAGATCAACCAGGTAACTCCTAAATATTCAGTTTTCTCTGAAGACAACCACTAGAGAGAACCCTTTAAGCAAAACAATATGGGAGAAAGATGCACGAAATGAGACACCAGTCGCATATCCAAACTTCTGGAAGTTCATTATATTTGTTTAGATTTCTAAGTTTTTATTCACGAGAATAAATTAACTTACGTAAGCCAGTCTATGGGATCCAATCTTTGCGAAAGACGATTTATCAACCCATCAAAACGCTCTCTAATGGCAGATTTCACGTGGCTTTGGTCCTGCTTCCGTCTGAAAGGACTTTTTGTCTTTAGGTATGCAAATGACTCCTCACTCGTATTAGAATCTCCCCCAGAAAGGACATCGACAACAAATCTCAAATCTAACAGAACTTGCAAAACTCCTTTCTCTGACACTTGAGATCCACCAGCCTCTACAGTAGAAAGGAAGTCTCCATAAATACCAATGACCTACATGAAAGTATTGCAATCAATATTTCAAAAAAAAAAAAAAAGAAAAAAAAAAAAGACAAATAGTTTAAAGTATATTTCAAAACAATAATCTAAAGAAACAACTGGGAATTTTTCATTTTTCTAATGAACACACAAAACCCACATTTTCTGTGAATGGCAGAAGTAAACGTAAGCTACTTCATGAGGTAATAAAGATGTAAATTTATTAAAACTGACACATAAGGGCACATAAATATATATGCAAGAGTCGACAAAAAAAACAAAACCAATACTTACATCCCTGAGGTTGCAAGATAAGAAGATAGGCTTCATGCTAAGCAATAGTAAAATTACGAATAGGTATACATAAAACTGTAACAGAAATAAGAATGACGTATCGATGGCCGGCCAATGACCTGTTAGTCTAGCAGCATGTGAGCAACACATTGATGAATAGAGAAAAGAAGTCAGATACCAAGCGAAGCTACATACCTTTTCCAACAATCTTAATGCAAACTTTTGCAGAATTGTTATGTCAAGAACATGACCTCCAATTCGATGAACTTCTTCACATATGCGAAATAGAAATGAGACTATATAGAGAGAAGGCATGCAAGGGAGCCATATTCTCATGTCCAATTGGTTATCATCAGACTGCTCTTGCTTAACAACTGTCTCTTCCCAACCCTGCCCAAATAATAAAAATGATGATAGGTAAATTGTATTCAATCAACACCGTACTCAGCAGACCACTACCAGTGTAGCGTAAGTGTGTAACAGACAATCAACTCAGTCTTAAAGATAACATAAGCACCAAATATCTTCAAGAATACTAGTAAAATGTGCATTTACACAACACATAATTATATGTTAAGCCATGGCTTTGATTTAAAACCACTTTTGAATCATCCACAAATTTACCTTTTCAGGTCTGTTCAATTAAACCACATCATTCGTCCTACATTGTAACTACACACAATTTTGTGGAGAATGTTTCTTTACCGTTCTAGAATGCTGTATAAAAAAGTTATATCTTGCATTTGGCCTACTTTGCAATTATCTCCAGTTAAAGCGGCTTACAGGCCAACTGTCATATTATAATAATCAAGACAAGCTTGCAGTATTAAGATTAGGCTGTTTAGATTCAAATGCTTAAACCTATTAATTTCACTTATTTCTCTGAATGAAACAGATGATATGGAGGGTCATTTACACTTCCTAGTTGGCATCCAATGACTATCTAATAATCACGTAAGATTGCAGTCCATTTCACTTATACTAAATAAATGTAAATAACAGTGTAAAGAACAGAAATAATGGAGAGCAAAGTATGCTGAATACGCCTTACTGTCAGAGGAGTTGATGATGACAAAGCATAATCTTTTTGAAGATCACGGGAAAGAATAACTGAAAGCTCATCAGACAACCACGACATCCACAAACCATGTGCTCGAATATGGAGATCTCGCATGGTTACATTAAGCTCTTCAAGTTTAGGGCTTGCACTTTGGCCCGCTCCAAGCAATGCAGCAGTAGCAGATGAAGTATGCCTTTTAGAACCTGAGGGGCTATCAAGCATTGGAGAATCAGTGGGAGCTCTAGATTGTCTTGACATGGGCAGGAACTTATCGAGAACTACAGACCCTA